GCCATGAAGTAAATTATCAACTTATTTAGCATGGCCGAGGTACATATTAGCCGCAAATTATCATCAAAAATTTGTACGAGACCGACTGACGCCAACACACGGTTTCAACTTTTTACGGTGAAATGATTGAAAGGTGTGAGGAGAGATGATAATATTATCAATCATGTTACGAAGATGTAGAAAAACATTACTAAACCGGGAAATAATTCGAATATTTTTATATGCATGATCGTCGTCTTATTGGCAGGACGATGAAATGATTCAAAATGTTGGTATTTTTGAACGTTTTTTAAATTTTTTATCATTTTTGGGTAACGGATTGACGGACATCTGCAACGAAAGCAAATTTTATCGTCCTGAGAGGTGAAATGTTACATTTTGAAATAATAAAGTGAGAAATTGATATTATTCGGAACATATATTTTTCTACTTGTCAGTGAGATATGATCCATGATATAGTATTTAGTGGGAAATATATTACCAATAACACAGAGCCCCTCGTATGCTTTCAGCTCATATTGAATTACTTCCGTAGCTATTGTATAACCATAATTATAGCAAAATATGCAATCCTACGAATTTGTGTCGGATGAACAAGTTCAATAAGCAGCCATGGCGTACTGATTACGTAGCTACGCAATAGCGATCACGTGTCTGGCGCCACGAAGACGGGACTACGTGCAGTCGAGAAGACTTGCGTAGCAAATTGCGTGAGATGACAATTTCGGAAAATCGTGTTCTTGACAGATCAACTGACGAATTTCGATGAAGCTTTAAACCTTTTTATTATGTCAACTTAAAGACACCGGATGCGTATAATGAATATTGAAATTGCATTTGGAAATACTTCATTTGCACGCCAATATTAGTTCAAATACCCACACAAATAAGTATTTGCTCGCTATAAATACCAGATTGAATGAAATGTTTGCCGAGGCAAGTAAAGACTTCGAATTTCATCGTTTACTGACTGAACCCACCAAATCTGGAAGCGCCCGACGAAAACTCAGGAGCAATACTAAGATACAAACGCACCTGAAATGTATTACGCATGTTTCGGTATTATCCGAAACATCAGTCGTAGGTGAAAGAACTCACCTACACATGCGTATCTTGTCGGAATTGCTCTCTCATGCTATTATCACATAAGTTGGAGATAACTTGTCTTGATCTCTCATTGCGATAAAGATTCAATTCGAACATTTTATTCAGCAATCAGAATCATTTTATTATACGAAAATATCAAATTCGAACAAAGAAAACAAAATCGTTTACTAGCATAAAAATATATCCTTCATTCGCTATATATTCCAATAACATTAATAATGGCCAATTATTGTCACTCACAAGGATAACATATTGCAAAATAAACAAAGTAGTCACATTGCATATTCATACAACTGTAACACATATGTACTTGAAACATACGAACATAGTAAATTTATTATCGAGCTTCCATATCGGAATTCATTATAAAAAATTAATGTGCAGTATGGTGGTGCATAAAATAATACATCAATCGAGGAATTTGTCAAAAACGCTATGGAATCACAGACGTAGTCAATATGTTGCCTCATTCGAATTATGGTTTGGTGAAGTTAGCGTCTACCATGCACTAAACTATCACGATATCTAGCTTGGCCGAAGAATCGCAAATAGAAATATAAAAAATATGTGCGGAGTCCGATTGGCGCCAACGCACCTGGATTTTAACTTTGCTACAGTTACAGTTGTATGAATATGCAATGTGACTACTTTGTTTATTTTGCAATATGTTATCCTTGTGAGTGACAATAATTGGCCATTATTGATGTTATTGGAATATATAGCGAATGACGGATATATTTTTATGCTAGTAAACGATTTTGTTTTCTTTGTTCAAATTTGATATTTTCGTATAATAAAATGATTCTGATTGCTGATTAAAATGTTCCAATTGAATCTTTATCGCAATGAGAGATCAAGACAAGTTATCATCAACTTATGTTATAATAGCATGAGAGAGCAATTCCGACAAGATACGCGTGTGTAGGTGAGTTCTTTCACCTACGACTGAAGTGTCGGAATGAACGATAACTGATGACACCGCTGGGTTCGCCCCTTTCCCGATGAATCAAAAACTAAATACGAGAAAGAATGAATAGGAGAGAACTCTCTCGTTTTCACCTTGGCACGGAACGGTAAAATTGAAAAAACTGATCTTGGCATCGAAAGTGTTAGGGTAGAAAACCTGCTCATTAGGTTGTTGCAAAACAGTCAGCCATAGGAAAGGGTCGAAAAAACTATAAATGCTGAAAAACTATGAGAAATTGAATTTGCTATATCGTCAACTCAGTTGCAGTCTCATCTGAGGCTAAAGGGAATTTCAAACAATCCGTCTTAGGGGTATGGTATAGTTTAGTACCACAAGTACTTCTATTGGGCTCAGCATAACGAATTTTGCATATGTTATTCCTAATACCCACCTGACTATTCCCCATAAATAATAAGTCATAGAGCTCGCCAAAGTATCGCTACGATCGCCCGAAATGGCATCTGCCGCCGATAACAAACTCACTAGCGTCTACGATCTCTCCCATTTTGGGATTGTTGCGACGATAAAACGAGAGAAATAGCTTGCTCGGTGATCGTCTGCTTGTTTTGGACGATCATCCATATAATTTGGAAGGCCTTATTAAGCCAATGTGACGTTGCAATTTTGTAATTTTTTGGTGACGTATTCAGGTGGGGTTAATTACAAATGCGAAAATTGTTGAGCCTGGCCTACGAGAAGCGCATGAGGTACTAAACTATACCAGGCCCCGTTTTAGAATTAAATGGGTCGTCGACTACGTAATCTGTGACGTTATATCTTCACTTTAGTTTTTTTTTGTTTATAAAATAACCATGACGAAAAACGCCACATAACATCGGAGCAAGAGCCGCCTGCGATTGGCGAGCCGGGGGTTGGCCACCCCTACACTATGCTATTTGAATAGATTCTTTCTAATTTACAAAGTAAATATTCATCAGTCCACAGTATGCAACCATATTGGTCTTAAATGCAATAAATCCTAGATGACATATTTATTTAAATTCCACAGCGTTTGGGTAGTCTGGCTATACAGGTGGATGACATTATACATATTGTATACCATTACGGGAAAGAAGATAAAGGATTGAATCTCCACTTGCATAAAAATTTAGAAATCGTTGAGCCGAATCTTTTGCCATTTGCAACAATCAAGTCGAGTACATGATCATTTGAAATCTTTGGAGAGTACTAAACAATTAATATATGCATTATAATCTTGGAAATTCTAATGGTTTTCTGAAAAATTGCATTCGATGATAAAGTCCATGAAAAAAATAATTCTTTGAAGTATTGTAGCTAGGGATGTGAGTTTCAAATATTTTATTTTCGAATCAGAACGTTCTGATTCTAATATTCCCGAAGCTGATTTTATTTAATATTTTCAAAGCCCGCAAGAGCTCTAAATTGTCTTATCTGGTTAAGTATAAATAAAAAATATCTTAAAAGAAAAATATGTAAATCCTTTTCTCGGATAATTATTAAATTTATCAAATACTTTAGGAGTAAAAAAATAAATAGTCATGACAACGAAATTTGGTGTAAACCTACTCTTTCAAAATTGACTGACATAAATAATCCCATTTCTATTTATTTGAGTATTATGGTACAAGTTGGTTAAATATGTTTCAGCGGCGCTCGTGCTTCTCATTCTAAGAGCACCAATGGCGTCGAAGAAACCATCGCTATTTCCTGTTTAATAATATGAATGCAATGATGTGTTAATAAATTGATATCATTTGCTACACATAATAATAACAACATATTAGGTATATAATCTAAATATTTCAAGTAGAAATAAATCGAAAAACGACTTAATCCGTGTTGTAACAACGCCACCGCGTCATTCAATTGTTTCAGATTATCTTTAATTATACTATTGGACACGTTAGTGGACATAACGATCGTTTTGTTAATATGTTGTTGTTGTTTTTTGTCACAGAAAAATCGCTTTTCTCCTTGATAACTGGACCAATCGCTTTGAAATTTTCAGTGCTGAAAGATTAAAGTTTTCGCTAGAAGGCAAATACTTTTATTTATTTCAAATCTTCCTGTGAGCTTTAAGCGATTGTTTTTTTTGTGTTCTAAGACGTCATTCGCCACTCTGTGGCGCTACGTGTTTATACTTTTGAGTATAGCTCTCTTGTTTTAAATAGAATCACACTGAGTTTTCAGAAATTGCTTCGAATCGATTCGAATTGACGTTGATTCGAATTGCTTCGATTCGAAATTCTGAAACTTACATCCCTAGTGTAGCCAGTTGTTCTATTTAATGTAATATAATATTCGAGGTTCTATATATGATCGGCTATAGCTCAGTTTACCAACTATGTTAAAGAGTCAATAGTGTAATAATAATAAGGACTAGTATAGACATAGGTACAATAACTATTAATTGTGTAATAGGCGTCAAATTTATCCACTTTTCTTGTTTGGTATCACCACTATAAATGTTTATCAATTTCCAATACAACGAGATTCAGACGGAAATCGAATATGTAATAACGTATAAAGTATGCTGTGTCTGCTATTGCCACATTTCCCCCTACATATTACATACCAATACATGATACTCACGTGCATTTTAGCACGCGGATCGCCAAGAATTTCCATATTCCATACATTATACACATAGCGAGTTTGCGTTCTTCTCTTGTGTCGCTGGTGCTTTTTTCGCCTGATCTTATAAGATATTACGACTAAATACTGTTAACTATATCTCAGAATTAATATTATTTGTCTATTGTGTAATATTTGTGTGCAATATGTATTTGAGGCATTACGCTTAGCCAAATATAACATTTGAGTGTAACCACCATGCTGATAAGGTGATAAATGGAGAAATGTTGTATTTTTATACGTTCTAGGTATGGGTCGGATTGGCCAAATTATATATTGCTTTATATTTGTAAGACAGCTTACAGAACGCCTACAACTAGCTTTCTATTTATAATTCGTAGTGCATTGTTTATACCTCACATGATTTTACTATAATCGAACAAATGACAGCGATAGGAATCGACTTGGGGACAACAAACTCTTGCGTGGCTGTTTTTCGAAATGGAAAGGTTTGTATATATATTAAAGAGAAATATTGCTGATAAATATTGCAAATTCTTGTTAGTATTCTTAATAATCTGATGCATTAAACTGATGAATTGATGACATTCAATAATAGAAAAACGTAGCAAATGTTTTCCAGGACAAATTGTATCCGATGTTCTGACAGAAAACATTTTCTAAAATTGAAAATGACAACGTTGTAGTTCTTCTTACTATAAAGCGTTCACAGACGACGGAGAACTGTTATCTGTGTTCAAATCTGCAGAAATATTTCAACTGAAAGACGAGTTGTCCAGAATAGGTAACCATACTAACTAAGAATCTGGATTCCCAATAATATTAATTCATCGCTCAGGTTGAAGTTATTGCAAACGATCTCCAAGGAAATCGAGTTACACCGTCCTATGTATCGTTCACGAAAGGTGAAAGACTTGTCGGTGAACCGGCCAAAGGAGAGTTGACGGAAAATTGCGAGAATACTCTTTACCGTAAGCATTATTTCTATATTTGATTAGCATACCTTTTTGTATCCGATCCGTTGGCGTGGTGGTCTAGTAATCAGAGTGAATAATTGGGATGTCCGGTATATTTCAAAGTCGTGGACTGTCTCTAATACGCAAGCGGGCACTTTTCCTCTCAACACCAACGCCCACGTAAATCAGTTAGAAATGTTAGAAATCTCTATTTGATCCTTTTTGTGGTTTTCAACAATACACAGAATGAAATCTTATAATGTCTTAAAACTAGCTTAACTTTAAAAGATATCTTATACTTACATGTTGATCAAACAACGAACTAAAATTGACAAACGTAACCTCTTTAATCCCGCCATAAACAGAAACTCTTATTATGTTGTTAGGGGTAATAATTATGTACGTCGTAAGGATGGGAATTTAAATCAAGTCATTTCAATTTATGTTTCAATGTCCCGAGAAAATGAATTTTAATTTTAAGTGACAGGACGAAACATTTTCTCCCGAGGCCAGAACTTGGACAGTTGGAATATTTTACACCTTCTAATCTATTGGAAATATACAAATAATATACAATGCTGAAATCAATGATTCAAACAAATATTTACATGTACATAATCTATGACAAGACATTGAATTAAAGTAGTATGATAACTAGAAAGCATAGTCGGAAAGCATATAAATCAGAAAAGAATAGCGTATTCTCATTCAAAAGTTTGGTTTTGAAGGTTAAAATTGATTTTTCAATTCAATTCGCTACACTAAAATACCGCATCACTCGCATCGTTACGATTTTGTCACCTAGTTGATCTATATATTTATACCAATAGAAAAAGGGATTGTTAACCCCACATTTTTTAATATATATCATAAATCTCTTGAAAGGCATTTGTAAATGAGATGTTCAAATTATGTTAACACTTAAAGCAATTGAAAGCCGAATTGAACGCTATATATATAGAAACTACCTTTATTTACCTCAGGAATATGGGAAGTATGAATGTCCGTTCCAATGATAAGAAAAACCAGTGAATCATGAAACAAATTGTTGAATCTTATTGGACACGTAGTGGACATAACGATCGTTTCAATATTATGTTGTTGTTGTTGTTCATGTTCTTTGACACGTTTTTAAAAAGTCGCTTTTCTCTTCGAATACTGGACCAATTGCTTTGAAATTTTCAGTGGTTGAAGATAAAATTTTCCTCAAGAAGGCTATTTTTTTCTCGCTATGACGTCATCAAAATTATTGCCATTGGGTGTGCTACGTGTCCATATATTTGAGCATAGCTCTCTTGTTTCACTAAGCTTTATATCCATTAGGTATTCGCTGCAATGTCTCTATTATTCGGAATAGAGCGCATAATTTACCTTGTTCGGTTAAATCAGTTAATTATGTTTTTTTCATCAGTTTTGTTTCAATATGGTTTTTCACCTCATCATTGTTCTAAAAGAGTTTATTTCCGCACGGAAGGTATTGTTTTTTTTCGGCGTTACCAAATATGGGAATTTATATGTAATATCCCAAAGAGGAAGTGACCGGAGTTTAATAAATCTGCGGACCTGTGGAAGTTCGGTAACAGTTGGTATTGAGGACAATCAATTAAAGGGTGGTATTTCCAAAATAAAGTTTGAAACCCTAACGTGCAGGAGCCGGTTAAATTTGAATAGGAGATAAATGAGCATCAATCGCTTGTCCATGTCTAGAGAATGTCCAACTATAAATACTGTAATTATTTCCTTATTTTGAGTGGACTAAGTATTTAGGGAAGAAGGTTCCAAATCACCAATATTATTTGCTTTTAGCACGTGTACCCAATCTTCACAATATAAAGGGATGGGAGCGGTTCTATCATGGTGGAAGTCAATTTACTCTAATATGCAACAAAGAAAAATTAATGATTTGACCATTTCGTCGCAGACTTTTGACAAACATAATTGGTATAACTCGAAGTTTCCCAACCCTTTTGGGCCGCGAAAAATCCGCTTAAACACGCATAACTCAGATCACACTTAAACGAAATTACATTTTGTAAATTAATTCCCCTAACTTAAAACTAAACAATAATACGCGATATATACTAAGTATTGTTTAAGAGCTATTTCATATGCTTTAAATTGCAAGAAATGTAAAAATTCCCGGCTATGGTCGCTTACTGTTGCATCCGGGGATAAAAATAAATAATTTCGACATTTTCAAGATTTATTTCCGAGGTCGCCTTGGATATCTCGACCATAAAAATATACAATAATAATTATTTTCAGTTAAAAACATCCCCGACGTGTTATAAGTACTTCATGTCAGCGCTGATTTAAATCCTTTCATGTAGGCAGTAATCCATTACCGAACCGCAATGGGATGTCTTCGATGACGATAAAACATAAAATAATTGTAGAATGTTTTTAATAAAAACTTGGACCGCGGCGCTAGGATGTGTGCGCGATAAACACTAAAAACTATATTCGAAAGCAGCGAATAGCGATATTTGAATTTCAAATCGCACACCACTGGCCGGGAGTAACTTCGTACGGTGTCGTGTCGGTGTGTTATGATTCGTAGGGTCCGCTTAAAAACGAATTTTTATAACTGTTCATGGCTGTTTTTACGGGGTTGGCTTATATGCGAGCATATATGGTAGGTATCTATGGAAAAGATTTAGTCTTTTTGCGGGCATTATTGCCAGATATATATATATATATCGATTTCATTTTATCGTAGTCAAACCTCAAATGAAATTTATGTCGCTATGTGGTATTGAGACTTGGGGGGTATCTAAAATCGATCGTTCTGCGATCACTGTCGACGATTCGTTGGGGAATTTGGAGGATTTTTTTTTTCAAATTAATTTCATTCTTCATTTTTAACATTAACTTTCGTGTCGGTTTCGATTGTCCTTATCGGTATCGTAAAATTAGAAAATGAAGAATTTTTTGTTGGCTGACTACGGGTACGCTGTCTCTTTTTTTTGTTTGTATTTTTTTTAGCGAGTTTGTGTTATTTTTGCTTCAAAATAAAAACGCAACATTGGCGAACAATATGACCATTTAAAAATTGTAACAATGGAGATTTAGCGAGGCGCGTGTGACGTGCCGTTTCCAAGTCACGTGTTACAGGTATTATTATAGTTTAATGCTCGGATATTTTGTCCAGCAACCGAGATTTAATCAAATTTTATGCGAATAATCTTTTTTATGTTTCATGTAAATGACGTAAATCGTAACTTAGCCAATACGCAGGTAGGTAAAATGGTTTGTGCCCCGCGATGGATTTCTAAATGTGAGAATGTCCTCGTTGAGGACTCATTCAAACGCTCCGCGGACTCATTTGAGGCCGCGTACTCGGGTTGGAAAGCTCTGGTATAACTCGAGGATAGTTCATGAACTGTAACAAAGCATTGCCAAATGGGTTGGGGTGTCTCTCAACTACAATCATTTGATTTTTGAAGAAAATTAGTACAATACTTTCGGGTCTATTGGGATGACTAAGAGTTCTGGACCTAACAACATTTCCATCACATGTCCACCTCGCGGCCCAATGTATACACTTTCCAAACATAGAAGCTACTAACGTAAGAGCGAAGAGTGAAGACGAGTAAATGCCACAGAACAAAACTTACAAATAGTAAACTCATGTTACATCTTATTATTGAAAATATTTCCCATAACATAACAAATTTTCAGCAAATATCTAGAAAATTAAAGTGTGAAAAGGGATTTTTATACAATATTTTTATATAGAAGTTGCATTTTCATTGAAACCATTATGATTATGTTTTATTAGAAATCAAGCGTTTGATTGGACGAACCTATGATGATCCTTCGGTTCAGGCTGATATGAAACTGTGGGGATTCACCGTTATTAACGATGATAACAAACCTAAGATACCAGTAAGTAACTTCTAAAAGCGGCACAAAATGTATTAACAATTAACATTCAAATTGCATAATAACTTCTTCGTTTGATAAATTGAGAGAAAATAACTTATATCAATTTGCATTGACAAATTATAAAACAAAAAAAGTTTTCAGGTCAACAGCTCATTAGGAAATATATTCTGCCCAGAACAAATAAGTGCGATGGTTCTGGAAGAAATGAAAAAAACGGCTGAAGTATTTTTGGCTGAAACCGTAACTGATGCAGTCATTACAATTCCCGCATATTTCAACGATGCCCAACGAAAAGCAACTCATGATGCTGGTGTAATAGCAGGTCTCAACGTTATTGGTATGATCAATGAGCCGACTGCTGCAGCTGTGGCGTATGGTCTGGATACAGAGGTAAATTGATCTTTGATTCCTCATTACAATTTGGGTATGTTTTACAATATATACGCATACTAAGTTGGGTGTATAGGCCACATATATGTGGTTGGTTGCTTATGCCTATTAAGTTAGCTGTACGTGCATAATAATTAGATGTATATGCATATTTGGTTGTTATTTTGTGAATATTAAGTAATAGGCGCATGCACACTGGGTGGTTGTATATGCATATCAGATTGATTGTGGAGACATCTCAGTGCTTGGTTGGTTGCATATGTACATCAGATTGATTGTGGAATCATTTCAGTGTTTGGTTGGTTGTATATGAACATCAGATTGATGTGAGGTCATCTTAGTGCTTGGTTGGTTGTGTATGCAACAGATTGATAATGCAGTAATCTGCTTGGTTGGTTGTATATGCAATCAGGTTGATTGTGGAGTCATCTTAGTGCCTGATTGGTTGCACATGTACACCAGATTGATTGTGGAGTCATCTTAGTGCTTGGTTGCATATGCAATCAGATTGATTCTGCTGTCATCTTAGTGCTTGGTTGGTTGCATATGTACACCAGATTTATTGTAAAGTCATCTTCTTGGTTGGTTGTAATGCAATCAGGTTGATTGTGGAGTCATCTTAGTGTTTAGTTGGTTGTATATGCAAACCAGATTAATTGTGGATTCATCTCAGTGCTTAGTTGGTTGTATATGCAAATCAGATTGATTGTGGAGCCATTTCAGTGCTTGGTTGGTTGTATATGTACTACAAATTGATTGTGGAGTCATCTCAGTGCTTAGTTGGTTGTATATGCAAATCAGATTGATTGTGGAGTCATCTCAGTGCTTAGTTGGTTGTATATGCAAATCAGATTGATTGTGGAGCCATCCCAGTGCTTGGTTGGTTGTTTATGAACATCAAATTGATTGTGGAGCCATCTCAGTGCTTGGTTGGTTGTATATGTACATCAGATTGATTGTGGAGTCATCTTAGTGCTTGGTTGGTTGTATATGTACATCAGATTGATTGTTGAGTCATCTTAGTGCTTGTTTGGTTGCATATGAAATCAGATTGATAGTGGAGTTTTCTGCATGGTTGGTTGTATATGCAAATCAGATTGATTGTGGAGCCATCTCAGTGCTTGGTTGGTTGTATGTGTACACCAGATTGATTGTGGAGTCGTATGCCTTGTTGATTGTAAATGCAATCAGGTTGATTGTGAAGTCAGCCTAGTGTTTAGTTGGTTGTATATGCACATCAGATTGATTGTAGAGTCATCTTATTGCTCGTTTGGTTGTATATGCACATCAGATTGTTTGTGGAGTTATCCTAGTGCCTGGTTGTTTGTATATGTACATCAGATTGATTGTGGAGTCATCTTAGTGCTTGGTGGGTTGCATATGTACACCAGATTGATTGTGGAGTCATCTCAAAGCGTGGTTGGTTGTATATGAACACCAAATTGATTGTAGAGTCATTTGCTTGGTTGGTTGTATATGAACATCAGATTGATTGTAGTCATCTCAGCCACACGTGCATTTGGTTGGATAAATATGCTTGTCAATCTAAGTTGGTTGGCTGTGAGTGCACTATATTTTGCAGTATATGCACATCACGTTACCAATACCCCACTTCCTGATTTATTCATTCAACTATCATTTTCTCTATCGTTTTTTCGACGATTAGTGCTTTCAATCACTATTTATTTTAACATTACTACTTGCCAGTGGCGGCGCGTGGTCATTTTGACAACCGGGGCAAGCTACTGCGGGACCAAGTCACCCCCATCTACGGGGACAGGATGAGCGCTGTAAGTTCTCCCATCATTTTATGAGTATAAAAACCATTCCATCGGTAACAACCAAAAGCGACAATTTTTAACGATAAGAAAGTGTCTTTAAAACCGGTCCAAGTCAAGGGATTAATAAATATAGACATAGTTTATTTTGAAACCCCTTTCGAAAGGAAAGGCAATATTTACCCAGATAAATACAATGACATATTAACAAAAACTTCGGGAAAGCAGACTAAACCTAAAATAAGGTTTAAAACGTTACTATGAAGAAAGGAAAGGTAATGCAAAGATGAGGACATGCGTCGCTCACTCATAGATATATATGCTGCTAGACTTCTACTGCTTGAACATATATGCAACACGCCGCGGTTTCTTGGAAGCAAAATGCTCAATAACGCGCTGATTAAAGTCATGCATCCCAGAAATAACGTCTCTGTGAATGGATAAAACAGCCAAGGAATTTAATCTATCTTGCTTCAATGTGTTTCTGAGATACGTTTTAATACGCTTCAGCGTGCTGAATGTTCGCTCTGCGTCGGCGGAAGAAATAGGCGTCGTCAAAATGATGTCCAGAAATTTTGCAGACGCCGCAAAGGTAGTTACTAGAGTGTTATCTATGAGGAACCCATAGAGCGCGTAAGTTGATGTGATGTTCAAAAAAGTTTGATTGGTGTATATACATCGCAATTCATTTTCCAATTTACCCACGTTTATCATGGGGTAAAATTTGGAGACAGTAGCCAACAAATGGATGGGAAATTGACGTGCAAATTTAGAAAAAATTTTGGGGTTCATCGAAGAGAACGCGCAAGGTGTTCAGTGCGCAGACGATCGCCTATTTGATTCACCAGAATGTCACAGCATTCCTTTGCAGACAAAATCAAACGCTGCGTTGTTTGCCCGCGGCGTAAAGAAGCACTTCATGTGTCGTCGTATTTTATTGTTTCCCGGTTACGAGATACAGCATCGCAGAAGTCTGAAATACACGACTGCACAGACGCTCCATTCATTAGCCTTGACTGCAATGCGCCGTATAATACATCCACGTGATAGAATATTGTGGAGAAAAAAGCGAGAAAAAAAAGAAAACTCACCATCTTCTAGCAGACGCTTTAGACCTGCCGCCTCCCTCACAGAGCGTTCGTCCCAAACCGGAGAGCTCTGAATGCCATTGAAACACTCAATGAGCTCAGACCTAATTTCGGACACGCCCTGCACCACGCGTGATTGGAAGTTCCAACGTGTTGGTGCACAAGCAGGGAGACGGCGGCTACATATCTGGCGAAGGAGGTCAGAGCGCTTCGGCGAAACGGAAAAAAATGAAGAAAACCCCGAAACATTTGCAAAAAATATACGGACGAGAGGGGTATCAAGACACATATTTTTAATAACGAGGTTAAATTGGTGTGCATACCAATGTAAAAAATGCGCATGAGGAAAATCTTCTTTTATATAAACTTGAACACCATGTTTCGACCCACTCATGACTGCCGCGCCGTCATAAGTTTGAGCTATCAATTTTGACTTCGCGTTGTAAGGCTGTAACACTTTTTTCAGTACAGCCGATATCCCGCAAGCCGTGCGATCAACGATTGGTACAAAGCTGTGAAATCTCTCGGTAGGTTTACCGTCTTTCACAAACCGAAAAATCACAGCCAGTTGGGAAACGCACGTGATGTCAGTTGTCCCGTCAGACTGAATCAAAAGGAACTGGCAATTCTCAATTTCCAGAGCCAAATGTTGTAAATAAATTTTATACATTGAGTCGAGCAAATCATTATGGATATCTTTAGATGTCCCTTTCGAAACAGTTGCGGCATCAAGATGATCTCTCAATACTGTATCTAGGGATGCGGTGTATTCGACCATATCCAAAAATACCCCTCTATTAGAAGAGCCAGCCCGTTCATCGTGCCCACGGACGGACAGCTCGTGACAACCAATGAACTTCAAAACATCTATCAATCGACCGAGAACATGGCGGTTTTTCTTGACGTTTTGGTTGTGCCGACGAATAGAAACCGCGCGTCCTTCATCCAACTGTGCTGCAATATTAACATTTCCGAATGTTCGGTATTTTACTGCATTGTCCAGATGCTCCACAGAAGATTGATGATCTCTGGCACGCTCGGAAAGATGTTTAAGATCTCTAAAACCAAATTTACACCAACTTGAGTCACGGGCGGTAGCAAAAAGTAGATAATAAAAACAAAAAAGTGCATTTTTGTCCTCGCTGTAACACAACCATTCGTGTTTTTTATACCAAGTTTCTGCGCAGAATGTACGCCGAAGCTTTCCTCCGTCATGGGATTGTTCCAGTGAACAATTTTTTGGTTGATAAGGCCCAAGACGTTGCACCTCTAATTTTTGTTCCAGCGGCAGCTGCGAAAACGGAGTGCGAAGTAGTGCATCAACCTTATTCATTATGAGGTCTAAGGCTAAGAAATGCGAAGCCGGAAAGAAGTGAGGAGCTCAAAAGGAATGTGAAAAATCGAAAGCAAATGGACTAAAGGTCTCTAACTGATTCAAATAGCGAAACAAGCGACAAAAACGAAGGCGAGGAAACTATCAACTCTTCAAGCAACCAACGAACGAGAAGGAATGCGTGAATATGTCAACACGTTGTTGTAAGAAACGTCGGCATTGTGTCGTCATAATTTCGGGGCTAGCCCCGATCGGCCCCGATGATTTAGTGAGAGAAACAGTAAACAAACGAGACAAACGCGGCGAGTGGAAGATAAAAGAGAGAATACGATATACAATGAGCAACCGGGGCAAAATCGGCGTCGCCCCGTCGACGTTCGGCGAAGGCTTTGCGAGCGAAAAATGAACCATGTCGGGAGAATATGGCTAGTGTAGACAGTCTGTGCAGCCGATATTGAGGTATTTTTCGAATATTTTTTATTATTCCGAAAAAACAACCGGGGCATTGCCCCGGTTGGCCCTATTGACGCGCCGCCACTGCTACTTGCTAGCTAGAGTCTTGTAGCTAATAGCTAAAAGTAAATGCAATACACTGGTAATGCTAGTTTTGAATATAAATACATTCAATCCTTATCACACAGAGCAAAAATGAACGAAATGTTCTCATATTTGATTTCGGAGGAGGCACTTTCGACGTAACAATCGTGAAAATTAAAGGCCGCAAGTTTGACGTGATTGCAACGGGAGGTGACACTCATCTGGGAGGTGAGACAAAAATGTATTTTCTGGGTGTATGATAGGGTTGCCATACGCCGATCTACGGATTTTAGTGGTAAAATTTGAGTCAGGGAGAAATGCTAAAAAGAGCATGCCGGGGATTTTCGAATACAGCAAATCCCGGCTACGAATCTTCCAGTTTTCAGATATTGCGCATTCATTAAATGTTTTATATTTTTCCAAAATATGTCACATTCTATCATTTTTGTGCAACAAGGATTGCGTCTGATTCAGATAATTGTGATGTCACACAGGACCTGAATTGTCAGCATTTTGTTATCGGTATTTGGTTTAAAGCTAAGATCTGAAACCCGATCCCGAGCCGAAATTTGGATCGGGTCGGGCTTCTCTATCGCTAACTTTTTTGAAATGAGGCGTTTCGGCCGTGTTTTCAAGGAAATATAAAATTTATTAAAATAAAATATGAAATTTCGGGCTTGCTTCGGGCTCGGGCCTGCAAATCCAGTTAATTAGTCGGGCTCGGGCTCGAGTCGGGTTTAATACCCATGGGCCTGGGTCGGGCCGGACTGGAATTTTTGGACTCAATCTTACCTCTAATTTGGTTGTTTGCTTAGTCACCAGAGATGAAGATTAAGCAACAGTTTTGCTCACTTTGTTTTGTTCTGTATTTATTCTTTTCTCACGAGAAAGCGACGCTTGTGTCTTTGAATACATCGCGAATTTATAGCATAGTACTGTACAGCAGCGATTCCTAAGCTTTTTTATGCTGCTCTCCAATAATCTCAATATCGTTATTGTGCAATTTATGCCCGTTAGTTAACATGTTGACATAAAGTCAATTATTTTTTCTCAACCCTGCCTGATCCATGAACTCGGTTCAGCAGATAAATAAACTGTATCTCACGAAATTGCAGCAAGTGGTGTCTATATATATCGTTACGTAGGAATAAATCACACTGTCACTATGTAACAGAAAGTAAACGACATGGAAAGGTCACAGGGATTTATCGAATCATTTACACAGTTTCTACCAAATCAAAGTTTTATTTATTTTCAACACAATTCTGTTAATATTTCGCGGCGCACGTGAAACACATGGCTACTAGTGCTGTGCATCGCGTTGTTTGGTTGCAACATTGGACAAAATGGTTTATTAAAATGTTGTCAGGAATTTTGTCTTTCCAGATATGGTAACTCTAGTGTATGATAGTATTTCATTCATATTATTGCTGAAAACTCTTCAAATCTGAGCCCTTTGTGTAGCAATAGGGTCAGGGTTCTATGATTATAAGCTTTTCGGGATTATGGACCATATTCAACCAGCATCTCTCTTTATGCAGGCGAAGACTTTAATAATAAGCTTATGGAATATTTTGTTTCTGTGTTTAAACAACAACACGGTGCGGATATATCAGACAACAAAACAGCATTAAACCGATTACGAGTGGAATGTGAGGAAGTAAAACGAAAATTATCGACGTCAGATCGGATTAAGTATGTTTCCTATAGATCTTACGTTTGTCTGGTATCTTTTATTATATGAGACGGTTTCACGATTTTACTTCGCACATGGCTATATACAAATAGGCACTAACGGATTAAAAGTTTCTATGTTTAAAGGTACCAGAATATTTCGGATTAACTAATTCCCGACCTAATTTACTACACCCTGCCTAACCAACTTCTGCACAGGGTTAATATATAAAAATATATAGAGTATATTCTAAGAATTGGTGAAGAAAAACGCCCTGGTTGCAAAATTGCCGCGAAAATTAAAACAATTTTGAAAACACCGTTTACTTTTAATCAAAACTACATCAAAATGTTTGTAAGAACTAGGACTTTAGAATTAAAAATATTTATGTTGTGCTTTTAATTTAAAAGGGTTCAAGTTTATGCTTTGCAAGGAGAACGCGATTTTCACAGCGAAATTTCGAGAGCAAAATTTGAAGAGCTGAATCGCATTTTCTTCGATAAGGTTCTTGATACTGTGAAGAATACTCTTTCTGATTCCGGAATCAAAAAGGAAAATGTGAGATGCGCATGGAGCATTTGACCTTTCGTCGCTTTAATTTCTGTACATTACCTTTTCTGACACCCGTATCAATGCTTGACACATTGATTCCCTTGTTTATTGATTCCCATAACAGTCATTAATCCCTGAAGCAATGATGACACACAGGTTATGAAATTGCTCAGAGATTGTTATTTATGTTTCTAATTTTTGTCTGTAATCAATGAGATAGGTTGTATACAACTACGTATACAACTGCTTGTTTTGTAAATTTGAATTGGCATCTGAGTTTTCACTGATTAAATATTGTAGAAAATACAGTACTTAGCAAGAACAACGTGATCATATAAATATGCAGTATTGTAGCAATATTTTCTTGGTAATTACCTTATTAATTCTTGGAAAACATTAGAGCTAATCTATTTCTGGCTCTATCTAACAATTTATCCGTACCATAAATATATAATCTACAAATCCAATACATGACATATACAAATACAGGTAGGCTACTCAAGTTGTGTGTCAACCGAGATGGCGGACGCCGGAACGTACCTGATTAAGGTTAGGCCATGATTTGATTCCAATTTTACTTATTTTAGTTTTATTACAAGCTCGGGGACTAGCCAAGTGACTCCCGTAGTATTTCGTATTTGAACCTGAAATTATGGCCTAACCCTAACCTGGTACACATGCTACGATCCGGTGTCCTCCATCTTGGTTCGCATACTACAGAGGTACCCAAATACACGTATACAATTATTGAAATCCACAATTTAGCAGTACAGGTATTTTTAAGCAGTTACAAAAATTTTCTTTTTAGATTGATGACGTTGTTCTTGTCGGAGGTTCTACGCGAATTCCTAAAATCAGAAAAATGTTGGAAAAGTATTTTGACAACATGAACCTCAAAAGAACTATCAATCCGGACGAAGCAGTTGCTTATGGTGCTGCCCTATACGCTTTTTCACTTGGTTCTGTCGAGGATCCTGCTGTAAGTTGGCGTTTTTCGATAACTTTGTAGCGCTGAATCAATCTTTACATCAGTAGTTATGTGTTTTTCTAGTACATTATTTATACAGCAGCTACGACTTTCAATAAATAACTTTTATTCGGAAACACACACAATCTACGCTTTATATGTTACTGCTGATTCAAATTCGTGTATAAATCTTTGAAACAGAGTTGCAACGGCGAACACAAACGTGACGCTTCCAAAATCAAATTGTTACGGACAGATAACTGGTGTATGTAGGTTATAAGCAGGGCTGCCATCGATATGAACACAAAAATAAGCAATCTGAGATATATATTAATAAGATAACTAAATTTAAATTTAGTTTACCCTTATATTCGTGTTTTGTTTTGGTTTATTGGCTCCCAACCACCGGTCCGCGAAACTTTTTTGCTGGTCCGCGGGAAATTTTATTTTGTTGTTATTTTGCAATCTTAATCGCTTTGTCAAAGACGAAGTTACGTTGGTTTATTACGCAATTTCTCTTCCGCCGTCAGATTGCTATATGATGAATGGGGTATTAACATTGAGGTGTATATAACTAGAGAGCGCATGGGAGCAAAAATTCTGTGCCGAATTGAAGGTCGCGGCGGCCATCTTGGTACGCGCGACTTTCTGCTTGCGGATGCAGTGAGTAGGTTGGATTTGCCGTGTCAGTGGTGCAAAATGTATGATAATTTGAGGAAATTCATCGTTCTGCGCGTTGTAGTGGATTTCCACGCTATTGTTGGTGGTTTAGCCATTAACTTGGAAACGGAGTTGAAGAATCAAGTTTTGAAAGTCAGGTGGGTACGGTGCCGTACCGGTAGAATTTATATATGTGATTCGGTATAGATACCGGTGGTAATACCATGACACCTAATATACGGAAGCATGTTCTGTAAATTAAGTCAGCTGAAATGCACGGTTTTGTCAGATTGCTGACATACCGGTACAGGTACTAAATTATTCGCTAACTAGGTTGTGCTTGATTCTGATGTGTTTATACATAATGAAATGGCAGTCTAGGTCTGAATCAATGAACAAACTCAAATTGGAATCTATTGAATAGCCATTATTTGTTATTACTGATTACCGTACGGTATTTCAATAATCTTGCAAAATCGTTCATTTCAGCCGACTTAATGGACAGAACGTGGTTCCATATAGTAGGTGTCATGGTATTACAACCATTATCTCTATCGATCACATCTAAATTTTACTTGTATTTCACAAGCTAGATCAAATACGGCACCGTACCCACCTGGCTTCCAAAACTTGATTCTTCAACCTCTATGCGTACACGTTTTGTGTTATCCTTTTCCAAGTTATAGGCTAAACCAACAACAATAGCGTGAAAACCCATTTCAACGCGCAGAATGATGAATTTCATAAAATTATCTAACATTTTGCACCATTGAAACGGCAAATCCAACCCACTCATTGCATCCGCAAGCAGAAAGTTGCGCGTACCAAGATGGCCGCCGCGACCTTCAATTCGGCACAAAATCGCAAACGTCTAGCGCCGCCAATGCGCACTCTAGTTATATACACCTCAATGGGTATTAATGGCCTGACTTATTGGCGCCAAGTAATCACACTTTTCGCTTTTTCGGTTCCGATTCATCGCGAAAGTGCTTTTTCAAATCTCGCAAGAAACCTCAAAAAATCAGCATGTGTGCTTTTTCCGTGCATTTTTATCGATTAATATTATCATCCAAATAAAAGGTTATGAATGTTTCCTCATTTAAACCAGAAAACTGTCAAGAACAGTATAATATTCCAGAGTTTCACCTTGACACCCGGCGACATATGAACTTGTTGCGACCCTGCAGGTTTTCGCGAGACGCGCATATCTTTTCCGGGTGATGCACAGCGGGATTTTCAGCATGTTGCCAAGTTAGCAACAACTTTATCATTGTAATATAATTAAATTCATTTTATTAGGGGCGTCGATCTACCTTAGTGGGATTGATATGATGAACCCGGTGAAACCTCTACTTTACAGTCCAGATTTATAAAAGAATCAATGTCACAATTCATTCTTGAGCGCTAAGCCCAACCAACGCTAAGCAATCGAGCAATCAAACTGTTTCCGAATTTTCAACCGGTAACTTCTAGCTTTAATTAAAACGAAGCAAATGAATCGACTGTGAACCGCTGCAGAGCTACGTGTTGAAATCGAAAAAGTAGCAAAATTCCCACTTGAGTTAATTGTGTCTGTACATAATTTGGCATGTTCATGTTTTTTATGTTGGATGTGTGCCTTTTTTGCGCATAATGGATGCCCAGTACTGCATTTTATTACGCAAATATATGTCATTTTATGTTCCATTCATTTCAATTTTGGCCGGCACATTATTTGATGGTTTTTCCTCGTGTGAAATGTTTTCAAGTGTGGTCTTTTTCTAAAAGCATAGTAGTTGCCCGACATTATGTTAGTATTTTCTGTTTCACTCATTTCAATTTTTGCCGGTCCGCAAGTACATTTTATTTAATTTTACCGGTCCGCCGGGGTAGAAAGGTTGGGAACCACTGGTCTAAAACACTGATTCTCGACTATGGTATTTAGTTATGAATTCGAACTTAACACATGCTCAAAATGTCAGAAAACTAAATCAGTAGTCTACTGCTACACTTATCAAATCTATAGAATCTTAAATAGTTCTACTCTTCAACAGCAAATCTCTGATTCGCTTCAGTTTTTTGATTCAAGTTAAACAAACTGATCTCTGCCAGTAGGCTAATGTTTCGTTATTATGGAAATTAATTTGCTGCTGTCACGCCATGAATGCGCATCGCAATCAATGAGGTTCTGATATCATTTCTAGCAAGTCAATTATTCGAATTGACCAATTTATGTGCCTGATATAAAAAAAAATAGCTCCTAAAATAAAACAAAAATAAGGGCACACATTCAAAATAAGTGCATTTCTTGGAAATAAGGACAAATCTTAGAAATAAGGACGTTATGGCAGCCCTGGTTATAAGAGATCAATCCAACTTGCAACGGAGTCTATTTAGTTTTCAAGAGTGCAAATAAGAAAGAAATTTTATCGCAAATTAAATAAGAAATAACAACTACGAGAGTGGATTATTTAAAAAAACATCTGTACCACCACAATGTCCGACATGTTTTGAGACTATTAGGGGAAAACAAAAAAAATGACAACTTGGCAAAAATACGCGTTGGATGTCTAAGAGTGAAAATATTCAGTTTACAGTTACCACCAAATATTATCAAGTCTTTATAAAATCTTTCGATGCATCAAGTACTATAAAGGCAGTAAATTAAAAAATACCATCAAGATAATGGCTCATTCAAGTTCTCAACTCATTACAGTGATGCTCACGCATAAAACTGTATAATCTATGATCTGATTCACAATGCAGTCGTTAACAGTCAAAAAATATTTCAACTTCAGTTGAAAGAATTCGCTCTTGAAGATGTTATTCCACTTTCTATTGGCATCGAAAATCACGACGGAACAATGGGTTTTGATATTCCGCGAAACACGAAGATTCCAACCAAATTATGGCACACCTGACATACCATTGTGGATAACCAAAAAGAAATGTTATTGGAGGTAAGTATATACAAAATGTCACAAACTAAATTGGGTACAATAGTCGAACTAAAAAATTATCAAATATGATATTAATATTGCACAGATTTTTGAAGGCGAGCGCACATTGACCAAAGATAATCATTTTCTTGGGGAATTCACCATATCGGACCTGCACCAAGGAAAAAAGGCAGAGTCAAAGTGTTACTCGAGATTAATGCGTGTGGAATTCTCCATGTCAGAGCGATTGAGAAAATTACTGGAAATTCAAGTGAAATAACTATTGCAAGAGACAAAGGACGATTGAGTGAGAGCGAGATGGTAATCTATTAAATTTCTAATTTCCAAATATATAATAAAATACAAGAAAATTGGCCTGCAACATAATCGCGCAATAATTAAGTAACGCAAAATGTGCTAAAATGAGAATTGTCTTCTATCTACGAACTAATCCGTTAGTAGATACCGACCAGCTAGCTACTAATTTAATTATATATTAGACTTCTGGAATCTAAACTCTGATATAAAGCAATTTATTAATCAGAAGTTATATGTGTTCAATTGGAAATCCTGGTAATTTGATATAACAGTTGAACAAACTTTTCACAATCTTTCAAGATTTTATTGCTCCGTTTAAATAAACATACGATAACTCAACAATCAAATGTAGGAAGCACAAGTTACAACATGAGGCATGAAGTATAAAACGATATCTTAAATGGAATTGTAGCGCGTTGTCTCGCCTCTCCCTACCGTCATTTTCCGTCTCCCCTCGTTTCTCATTCCTTTTTGTGATATATTGGGTAACGTTTTTCTATTTAAAAGCTTGTTGCATTTCTCCGTTTTGTGGATATATCCACTATCTTTATTCATTACTTTTTCAAAAAGAAGGGTTATTTTTGACCAATCAGAGACTAGTTCGTTTCGTTTTAATAGGAGAAATTTCAGTTGAGCAAGAATATTGTTATTTCCGGTTTATACCATCGGCGCAGTAATTTAAGTCAAATGTATTTTAAATATATTGTAAAATAGACTGGCATAGCATAGATTTTGTGGGAATATCGATGATGTCATTTTCTCGAAAATATGAGATCATTGTTTTGTGCAGATGGGAAAAATACCAGTGTTAATCGAGGGATCAAAGTTCACAGTGGTAAATTAATTCGGTGTATATATTCGATAATTTTGCAAAGTAACAATTGAAAATTGTTACAATCACCCCAAATTTACAAATAGGGGGACAGGGAGGAAACTGCAACATTTTAAATGGCCGATATTATTTCCAATAGTGTGTTCGAAACATATATGTATCAAAATGAGTTTTGAAAGTGTTTATTCGAAATTGCAGCCAGACTGAATCCGCATATCACAGAAACATGAGTTTCACATTAGCGCAAACATGTAAATCTGAATCTCTAATGTCTCTGCCTCAACTTAGATACAGGAAGCAGAAGAGTATAGAAAAAGGGACCAAGAGCTGAAACAGCGAAGTGGGGCAAGGAATGAGCTTGAAGATTACGCGTACAGCGTGAAAGAAGAAGTGCGTCAAAAAAATCACACAGAACCACAAAGAGAATCTATAATGAGCAAAGTGACTGAAATTCTCCAATGGTTGGATATAAACCAGGTGATTATTCATGAAGTTCATATCAATAAATATCAACGATTCTTGACTAAAACGGTTGTTAAAATTATTGGTGATTCTATAGTCCATTAGATCTGAAAATTATATGCTTTCTCAATATGAGGTATGACAAACTCATACGAGATGTTTGTTTCCGCGTGATTTATGAATTGAAATATTGCTCGCAACATGTTTCCTATGTGATCTAAATATTTATGTTGCAATATAGTTCAATTTCCTTCCTTTTTAGCTCTTATGATCACATGGAACATAAAGTTCGTAAGGGCATTCATACATATATTCGAGCACTTTCAAAGTTTGCAAAAAAATCACATACTATTTTTTTTATTTAGACAGAACCTCCAGAAATGTCTGAATTGGAAGCGAAAAAAGGGGAATTGGAGAGATTAGTTAAATAAGTTGATAGAGATGCTGAAATTGTTGATATTTTGCAGAAAATATTCCACGATTTTGCATATGTATATACTATAAAAGTCGTTGAATAATCTTCATAACAAGCCTGGCGGGCATTCCGAAGCAAGTTAATTGAATACGCACACGATTAAATATATATCATATATTTCGTTTTTTCAATTGTTGTTGAGACAAAATGTTATTGAATTACAGCAATCTTTACTTTTAAAATTTTAAAACGACCCTGTTGCCTGCAGTGCTATAATTTTTTTTTAAATATATTACGAGCTGAAAATTCGTTGATTAACCCAATTTCATGATCGCAATTGCGCCAGAAATTTAATTTTTAGCTGGATGACTTTTACCAGGTTGTGCTAACAAACCTTTCATAGCAGTTTTATTGTTTGCTTATTTTTTTTACTAAACTTCAAGTAGCGTAGCTGAGTTTGCTCCTTATCATTATATGACCGTTAGTGTAGCTTTTGGAAAAAAAAAACTATTTTTTAATTCAAAGTTTTGTATATTGAGATTTGAGCCTTTGGCCCAGTATATCCGTTGGCCCACTCAGAAAAATATTTGTCCAGTTGTTTAATTTGCTTGAACATTGCAAATAAAATAATCCGTTGAATGCAACATATTTCAACACTTTGAGAAACTTCTCAGAAGATGGTATTTATTTTGAGATAGGCGGATAAAATGTGTTTATGTAGACATAACCGAGGCATGCTTCACGATAATAAATATATAAAAGAATCGAAAACCAAGAAAACTGCTTTTTTAACAAATCTAGCATCTTAAATATATTTGCGCCAGGTAAGGCAATTGAAGGTTAGTGCTGTATCGGATGTTAATTTTTCCGTGTGTGATTACGCGGCGTCAAAGGTTTATTATTAATTTATTATTCTAATTGTTAGTATAAAAAACTTACTACATCTAATGACATGTTTGACCTATGTCTTCACTATTATACGTCACGGTAATGTAATATATACACAAAAGTTTCTGTCGAATTCTATTTTTTATACGACGCTTATTTACGCCCTTCGCTAGGAACGAAGCCCTCTGATATCTAACGATACGTTTGAGGCTACTAATAGGCTATTTGGAAGGGCCGGGAACCTTCCAACAGTACCAACACAGTAAATTGTAACGCCATGTTACTCCGTGTTGCAGTGGCGTAGCATCCACCCCCCGCGGTCGCGGGAGGGCCCACAGCGCAAAGGGGCCCAAGCGGTTAGAATTTAAGCCGCGAAACCAAAAGTTGCATTGCAAAACCAGTAATGCACATCTTATAACGTTGATGTTAGTTCTGCTCAAAATCGTTTTGTTACGTAACAATGTCAGGAGTCGTCGATTTTTGGCGTCTTGTGGTTTGATCGCACCGGCAAAAGGCTGTCAGAATGATGTCAGAAGCAAAATCTCTCAGGGGCGCACAGGAACGCAGAAAAAGGGCAGAAGAGGAAGCACGTATGAAAAAAATTAAAGTAACCAAGATAAGTTTTAGGTTGCCATCGACTTTTAATAGCGACATTTTATGCGTTTTGACGAAATAAAAAAAGCGATGTTTTAGGTTATGTCCGAGAGTTTTTAGGGTCATTTCCACGATATATTTTTGCGGGGGGGGGGGTAATCTATGTATCGCTATATTCGGTATTTTATGCACGTTACATACAAATTACCGATACTATTCAAACAACGTTCATTGAAATATTTAAAACTTTTAACCTCCAACGATACGCGGCGATAATTTTCCACGGCAGGTCTCGCAAGGAATATCTACAGTTCACTAGATAAGATACTACACTTCAATTCGATATGCACGCACCCAAAAAATAATATTTAAAAGCGTCGAATACCTTGCAAGTGGTATCATATACAAGTTATAGAAAGTTTGACTATTGCCGAGTTGCGCGACTTTCGAGATGACAGACTGCTGGCGCAGTTTCTTCTTCTTAACTTGAATAAATGATACGTAAATGCCGGCGAGTCTAATCGCAAAAATCGATACTGGTACAAAACTACTTACAGGGCAGCCAAGCATACAAACAATCATTAGAATCTCAAGATGGGTGACATGATAGATAAGGCAATAAGAAAGAAACGACTATCGCGCACAAACACTTACCGTACTCCACTAACCTCAACGTTTGGCTAAGCGTTGGGAATGCGCTTGCCTTGGCAGCTCCGATTGCCCTGAACGGTTCGCAGCCCGTGGACGATCATGTGCAAGAAGATTGCTGAACTTAGCGCCGCTGTTAACAAATAACTGACCGAATCCCCTTCACTAATAACACGGCGAAAGGCCATGGTTCGCCATATGATTCGTTCCCCATCCCGGAGATGAATAGCACATGAAAATTCTATACTATCGTGATGGCAAAATAGTAGGCTGCGGCCTGCGAACCCTATTTACCCGGGGTAAAATCCCATATGACAATCTACATACTATCTTTTTAAGTCGAAATCTTTATCTGAGCCTGTTTTTCCTTCTTATTCATTGAAATAGAGTTTGCTTCTTCCGATCACCTGTCAATCGGCTTCCAAGTTCACATTCACAACAATGACAACACACCCGTTAGTCTTAACGCAGCCACCTCGACTATCTACAAAAATCCGGACAAAGTGAACTTAAGAACTTTGACAAAAAGCCCAAGATGTGAATTTGCATACTTACCGTATTTTACGGACCATAAGGTACACCCTAGATCAGCGGTTCCCAAACTATGGGTCGCGACTCACTGGTGGGTCGCAAAAGGAATCTTAGTGGGTCGTGAAAAGATGTAGGGAGCTTAGGTTAATTATACTGGTTATTAGGATCGGTGGCGACTTGAATACGTAAATCTTCATAAAAAAACAAAAGAAATTAAACAGAATTTAAATTCTAATCTGCGAAAGTTTCCTTTTTACGATCTTGTCAAAGGAACAAAAAATTGCTACACAAAGAGTGGCTTGTTTTACCGCATAGCATTTTTGTACACTGTACAGCACTTCCTATCGTGTTTCCCCGAAATTTAGACAGGATTTGGTACTCCTGAAACATGCGCACCAAGATGTCCCACAACCTGAACCGTGACCACAACCTGAATTCAGGTTGTGCGCCATCTTGGTGCGCATACTGCATGAGGTCTCAGGAATTAGATTTATTTTCTTCCGAAGAATAACACTATGTTTTTTGAAAGATTTTTTAATAAACATTCTGTAAAAACCGACATCCATTGTTTTTATTTGTATTGGCGCGGCGGTGTGGCTCAACGGGCTAAGCGTTAGGAAAACGCTCGCCACCGCACCTCTAATTACTGGACTCCTCGCCGTCGTTGGGTGGTTCGCGTAACCGCTGGTCGGCTACGGCTTCCTCCACCACCAAGTCCATGCTTCCGAAAACAAACAATAGAACTAATCCCATACCCGACTTGGAATGGTAACCGGACGAGAGGCCGTGGTTCGCCATATGGATAAGCCCGCTCTCCCCAGGATAAATATGTAAATCCTATTTTCTATACAAAAATCAAGTGACAAATATCATAATTGTGATAACACACAATCTTGAATAGTGGTGTGATCTTCACCTTACCTCAGGCCAATGAACCTGCCCTCTCCCACACACTTTAAATTTATTTAAGAGTAGGGTTTAATTAAAATCATTTTAAAAAATTCAAATTAAATATTTTATTTTCAGGCCAGGTCTTATTTTCGAGGATACTCGGTAGTTTTGCAATGATTAGCCATTGCTGGGTTCTGTGTTATGTCATAAAAAAAAAATTTAATTAAAGTTAAGTGGGTCGCCATGAACTGTGGTAATAAATAGTGGGTCCCAACTCTAAAAAGTTTGGGAACCACTGCTTTAGATCCTTTCTTTTTTCAAACGGGGCAAGGTTTACAACCATGCTTGAAAATATGTCCGAGCGAACGAAGTGTCTGAGTGGTAGATTAGCGTGTAGTGTGTATTTGCCTCCAATAACAGTATAAGTATAACAATGACTATAGCAAAAAATGGAATACATAATTCGATACTCCAAAAATATAACTGCTGTGTTCTAATAAGAATACACACGAAACAACGGAAAAACAAATCATAAAAACGGGACAAATGTAACAACTATAGTGAATTGTAATTTCTGCACACAATATTAATTCGGGCCGCTAAATCAAAGAATCAATCATTACACAACGCACTTGTGAATTTCCGACGACCACATGAGAATCTGCACAGAGTTTTCACTAGCAAACAAACATGTCAAAATATTGACGCTGTATGTGCGTTATGGTGTTATTTATTTTCAGTAGCTAGGACTTAGGGTAGGCGAGGTTGAGGGGCCGCAAAAACTTTTTCTCGCGGTCTCGCGGGCCGTAGTCGGAGAAAACCCAAAAGTGATCAAAACACCCCCATGTTTACTCACTTTAAATATATTTAAGAATGAGAGTTTATCGTTTCAATCAGTTTTTCAAGAAAACTATATAAAGCCTTTAGTTATTTTAAAATTGCTTCCCGAGAAATATCGTGGTAATTTTTCTAGTGTTTTGTTTTTTAATGTCGCTTAGAATTAAATTCTTTCGTGACAGATATTACTTGAAAACACACCAGACACTGTGGTTTAACGTTGTTGTGGGTAAGGAAATACGTTTGCTCTTAGTTTACTTCGGTCACCTTTTCTACACTCATTGTATGATGAATTTATTACTTGTAGCGTGAGCAGGCCTAGTGCTACCGTCAAAAAACAACCAAGTTGGCACCTCGGACCCAGTTAAATAAAAAACTGGATCGCGCGGCGCTAAATCAGCCCTGCGGTTCGTCACTGCTGTCACATGGCCCACGCTTGACAATACAGATGTGTTTTGACTAAAATAAAGGCAAAAAACGTCTCTTCATATGAGAAGTTACTTGACGCGAGCTCATCTCATCGGCTTGGTCCCGTCTGCACAAGACAATTCATTATTCTTTAACCGATCACAGGACGTCATTCCCATATGGTTTATAGATAAAACAATGAAATTCCGTGATGTTAACAAACATCAATCCCGACATCGGGATTAGAAAAGGACTATTCCCAGTTGGAATAGTTTATAAATAAATCAAAAGTTGTTCTGCTAATGAATTCAATATCTGCTACTGGCTTAGTAGTGTACGCTATATTTGTTCTGCGGGCCGCACGGAATGTGTTGGCGGGCCGCGGTTTGGGCCACCCTGAGCTTAGTCATTGTCTCAATGTTCAAATGTGCGATAATATCGCGGGAATATCAAGTTTTGGTGAGCCGTTTCGTAAAAGTTGAAACATAAATACAAGTATTTAAAAAGTAACATTACTAACGTTTCTGGACAAATATATTTACTAATTTGAATATGTAGAAGTTTCATTAAGTCAATATTATAAGCAGTTTTTATATATATCTTTATATATTTTTTACATACGGTTATATAGTGAATGATCAATATCGTGAACGTCTGTAGTAAACTCAAGAAATGAAACCCTTTTGCTTTGTCAGAAACTGTTCGAAGTATAAATAGCATCAAAAATATTGAGTCAAAAGTCCGAAAAGCTGGTACGAACGTAACGCAACGTAAAAGCATTCGTCAATGTCGCTATAACGCCACACGTTCGGTTGTTTACGACTTGCTGAGCCAATTATTACATTCGCTGTTTTTCGGAGCTTTTATGCAAACATAATTAAGGCGTGACGTTATCAAATCATCAAGTGAAGTCTCAAATTGGCGAATTCTGTAAATACAATTGTGAATTTACCGATAACTATTTTATCTACGATAATGACTGTGGTATTGTTTGGTTGGACAATAACACAATCAAACTAAAAGTGATTACTCATAATTAGTGCTTAATTTTCTATCTGGTGCAGTAACACTCAATTTCAAGGTTGTTTTCTATACATTTTTGGACATAGGGTCGCATATGTGAAAAAATAATGTTGGACACACATAGCGTCACCTCGCGGAAAAGAACTCTAACGTACACGTTTAAAAAGCGACAAGTCCCGTTTTAGGGCCTAAAAATTCTGTTAGACAGGGATGACACACACATAACATGAACAAAAATACAAACATATAAGGAGTCCCGGAGCCAGTAGCAAAGATATTGTTGACTTTATATTTTACGCTGGCGATAAAGACGACACGAAAGAAAGCGATCAGAATTATTTCGGAAATTTAGGTTCCAAATTCATTCCTTTAATCGCGCTCAGAGTTCGTTGCACGCACAGTTCTGCGAGACAAAAAAACAACGTCGATGTCCTTCAAGGCGGAAGACTTGTTTCATAAGTAATGATAAGAACCGGCATTTGGATGTAAACAGACGGCGGAAATAATCACACTAAATTCACGAAACATACGTAGGCCTATATAACATAAAATTTTGAAAAGTCTTCCCACAAACTTCATAGGGCGGGCCGCAAAAAACAGTGTGATGGGCCGCGGGTTGGGCGGCCTCGCGCTTCTTGCATTTCTGAACAATGGTGACTGTTGCACATCTTGAACATAATACACGCCTGGTCATATACGGCGGGATTATATGAGGTAACCTTTATTGACTTCATTCCATCCAGCTAGATTGCTGTTGAATAATGTACAATACGAATTTTATTTCGCATAGAAATAGTAGTATTAGTATATACAGGTTCAACGAATGTGTTTCGAAATTTAAAGAAGTGTGGCTTGCATGAATACATTCATGTCACAAGATATTGAACTTTAGTTTTGATCCAATAAAAACCTTTTGTTATTGCACGATTGACAAATCAGTCTCTTGCACTATTGCCCTGGGCAAGCTTAAAAATACTTTAAGCTGAAGTTATATCAGCATATGGTATTTCAATTACAGTATGTTCTGATGACTAGAACTGTGTATGTATGTTCGTAGAACAGTATGTAATGCTGTCTTTTTATTTCAGGCCCATACATGGCTTGTGTGTAAACTTATAATTCATTTTATAGGTAAATAGTAGAAAGGGGGAAGTTCTATAAATTCAAGTATTCGGAGAAATATGAAATAACTTTTGTTTGCGCGGCGTCTACACTCAAAGCAGACAAAGCGCTTTTGAGAAAGCAACACAATATAAAGAGATACTCTTACTTGGTAGGGGGCAGGGGAGTATCAAAAGCGCATTCAAAAAGCAAACGGTCGTACGAAAACACACGATCGAATGAATACCATATATATATTTTACAAAAAAAAAGAGGAACAAACCTAACTAACAACAATAAGACAATAGGGATAATGATATATGGTGTCCTTCGCCTTAAATATTCTGATCATTAGACGAATATTGAGCATGCAGATAGAAGGTCTGCAATAGGGATGGATATGAGGTTCCGGTCGCCATTTTTAATAAAATTTGCCAAACGCAAGGTCACGCGCAATCAATCATAAATAAAAGAAGACCCATCTCTGTGCAAGGTTTTGGCCAAGCGGTGAATTGCCAAGAGCAACTAAAAATAATAATAAATGCGTGAGAGGGTCATGGCTCACAGCTAACCCTGTTTGAATGGACTTATTCGTAGAGGGATATTGCGCTGCCAAATAGTGAGCGGATATGAATGTTAGAGTAAATACACAAACTGCCATTCGAATTTTAGGGTGGCTACACAAGAATCGTAAAGCTATTCGAGCACAATGTTCCATTAAAATGCTTGTTTGTTGAGTTATTCCGAATGTCTCTATTCTAGCTTTTGCTGTAGAATGTCTAGAATAAAAAATGGTGATAAATGTGCTAATATCAGTGCTGTGAAGTTTTGAATGACTTTTTCATATCGACAGCTAATACGCGCAAATTGGTGTATATTTATACACCAATTTATATATATATATTAGCTGCAACCTCCAATGCAAATTACAGAATGGTAGAGTAACTAATTATGTATATTATTAATTTCTGTTTTTATTTTTCACCCGGACGGTATTGCCTGCTGCATGTATAGTAAAATACATATGTTTTAATCAAACAAAATTATGCCAGCGATAGGAATCGACTTGGGTACGACTAACTCTTGCGTGGCCGTTTTCCGAAATGGACAGGTACGTATGTCGTGCACAGGAATAATTCCTACTATTAAATTTCCTATGCTAATTATGGCGTAATATTACTAACGAAATGATATACCAGATGCAGGGCATCCTTTCTGCAACAGGAGGAATCTTCCCAGATTTTGAAACGTTGGCGCGAGCATTCTCAATTTCTTTTCATAATTTACTCTTGTCGGCGGAGTTTGGAAGCATTGATAATTTTCGTAGCAGTTGACGTTTACTCGGATATTTGTTGTAGAATATTTCATCAAAATAGCGGAGCAGTTTCACTCATTTCGATGTTTCGGTTATCGGTACGCCATTGTAGAACGGTACGATTAAGTTAGTTTAGGGCTTTGTCAAATCTTTTCTTTTTATCTATCATACTATCAATTGATACTAACTAATATTAAAAATGTTAGTTTTCGTTTCATCACGCAGGTTGAAATTATCGCAAATGACCGAGGAAATCGAATTACTCCGTCCTTTGTATCGTTCACGAATAATGAACGACTAGTCGGTGAAGCGGCGAAAGTAGACGCGTCAGAGAATTACGAGAATACTCTTTGTCGTAAGTATTTCTATATTTGGCTTCCGGTACCAATATTTTCGGCATTTTGAAACCATTTTAAAATTGAGCTTATGCCATGACATTAATGTCGAGAGTATATATATCAGTTGTTTCTTCAACTTTATTATATTTATGTCGCCACTGTATTGACTAAAATAAAGTTCATAATAATTTTAGAAATCAAGCGTTTAATTGGACGAACCTATGATGATCCTACGGTTCAAGCTGATATGAATTTATGGGCATTCACCGTTATTAAAGATGACAACAAACCCAAGATACCGGTGAGTAGTTTTCAAAGCAATACAATATATATATCATTTTCGTTAATTTTTTTTTTTTAGATTTATGCATTTCGTTTGACCATTTAGAAGTAAATAGCAGTGAATTTTTATACAAAGTACTGTATTTATTTATTTCAGGTAGTTCATAACTACAAAAGAAATATTTTCTGTCCAGAACAAATAAGTGCGATGGTTCTGGAAGAGATGAAAAACACGGCTGAAGCATTCTTGGGCGAAACTGTAACTGATGCAGTCATTACAGTTCCTGCATATTTCAACGATGCCCAACGAAAAGCAACTAATGATGCTGGGGTAATAGCAGGTCTCAATGTTATTGGCATGATCAATGAGCCGACTGCGGCCGCTGTAGCATATGGACTGGATAAAGAGGTATTGTTAGTTACATCTTGCTCAAGTTCGCGATATATACCTATCCAATTGACATGATTGCCCCTATGTATGTATATATATTTATATATACCGCACATGCATGTTTAGTTGATTGCATACCTGATTCCAGTTAGTCATCAATCATCAATTACCATTATTTGTCTCATTTTTTAACGATTGCTTATGAGTGCTAGAGCACTTTTATCATGTGTTTACTTTGACTAGTTTTACTGACTGAGCTAGGTTTTCATTGAATAAACACAATATACCTTCAATGTGTATCACAGAACAAAAATCAACGTGATGTTCTCATATTTGATCTCGGAGGAGGCACTTTCGACGTAACCATCGTGAAGATTGAAGGTCGCAAGTTTTACGTGAGGGCAACGGGAGGAGACACTCACTTGGGGGGTGAGATAAAACATACTTTATGCTTGCTTGCTTCATAAATAATATACCTTCTCAGCGCATTAACCATAGACGAGATGAAGAATTAGTGTGTTTTATTATGATTATTATCTGTTTTAGTCTTTGTATTATAATTTTATCATGTCTTTCCTTGCAGGTGTGGACTTTGATAACATACTTGTGGAATATTTTGTTTCCGAGTTCAAACAACAACACGGTGAGGATATATCACAAAACAAAAGAGCCTTGAATCGCCTTCGAGTGGCGTGTGAGGCGGCAAAAATATATTTGTCTTCGTCAACGCAGGCCAAGTATATAAAAGTTTTTACGTTAATTTTTCTTTTTATTGGACACGAAATGGACCTATGGATCGTTCAGTTATTTTGCTGTTGTTGATCATCTTGTGAGGATTTTCCCTGATAGGCCGCCGGAGTAACAAAAAGTTTGGGAACCGCTGCTCTATGGTCCATAGACTATGGGATTCATTTTTGTGTGGGATGATGTCATCAGAATTGAAAATTGCGCTCCTTGTGGCGGTTCTGCTTTTGCGAAGTTCAAATCTGCTGCATAGCTGCGATAATGTACTGGTAGGCTACTGAGACAGATTGCATACCCGCACCACTTCGTGCCCATATATTTGAGCATCGCTCTCCATTTTCTGTCAGTTTTTTTTTCAACCTTTTTCTCGCCTTCACTCCGAAGAAGAGTCTGTGTGAAATCATCCACTAATAAGTGAGAGTATACAAAAGGGCACGATATCTTTGTATCTATATATATATTAAGGTTTAATATCAAACCTTTTTTACATCTGCCTATTTAACTTGCCAAGTTCCAAAGTGCTGTCAAACTATTTGGCATGTTAAATTGTATCTGAAGGCTTGAAAATACTTATTCCGTGTTTTCGAAGGGTTCAACTCGAAGCTCTGCAAAGTGGATACGACTTTCGCAGAAATATTTCAAAAGCAAAATTTGAACATCTAAACCGCAATTTTTTCGAGAGAGTCCTTGATACCGTGAAAAATACTCTTTCTGATTCTGGACTCGAAAAGGAAAACGTGAGTCATACATGAAGCATTAGCAAAGTTGAAGTAGTTGATTTCTTATAAATTACGGTTGACAATATTCTGCTAAGCTATTGGATACGTGTGCCGCTTCAAAGTTTTTTTATGACATGTTAGGTTAAAACATTTCCCTGCAACTGCTAGATTAAACCAATCGCTTTCAGTAATACTATTCAACAACTGAATTTGTCTAACAGTATTTAAGGTATACAATAACGGTAAAATAACATTAATCAATGAGCGTATGCTGACCATTAAATTATCAAATTACAATATGTCTATCGAAATTAAAAGTAGCAGTAGACAAGATAAAACTAGATAATTTGAAAAAGTTTACGTAATGTCTAATTCTGTTATGCTTTATTATTTACAACAGGAGTGTGCAATCTTTATAATAAAGGAGCGCCAGATATAAATAACTGGGTGAAACCGCGAGCCGCGCCCCTATTTAACATAGATATTCTAGTAGTTGCAAGCACAAAATAGTTTCTTTTTGTTATTGATATTATGGCTTTATTGGGGATTCCGTTTTATTGTCACCTTTTTATTGTCACGTCCAAAAATTCACCGAGAATTTCGCATCTGGACTTTTTTCCTCGAATACATTTCCTAAATTTGCTTTACTGGAAGAGCCAGCAATTTGAAGTCAATTTTTGATGTATTCGTCTATCACAGCGTTTCCCAACCTTTTTTGATCGCGGACTATTTTCTAGAAGGCGAAAACCTTTGCGGACTCAAGGTGCGTTTTTGCAACCCTACTCTGTGTGAAGAAGCAATAAAACCAAACACAACAGAATTTCAACAAATTTCAAAATCGTTCGTTAAAAGAGCCGATTTTTTTTAGTGTATAATGGCCTTTTCTGTCGCACAATATTCAATCCATGACAACGACGAGAGTTTAAAATGTCTTCTATTTTAATTTAATTGTGTTCATGGTAACTCGCGGTTGCTTCGACTCTCGACAAGATGAAAGCATTACTTCTTTAAAATGTCACGGCAATCTGCGAACATACTAATGTGAGAATATATTGCACGATTATATTTAGTTGTGATACATATTTTTTGCGATCTTGCGAATTTGTTATCGCCGTTAGAAAAATCCTACTATCTGCTATAAATTTCCAGAAAGGACAACTTGATTTAGTACTTATTAAAGATATATTTGAAGTATATTAGTAAATCAAAAATACATATGCATCGCCTTGATTTATTATCAATTTAATTGTGATCATTTTAATCTGCGGTTGTGTTGACGGAATAAGAGCAATAGGCTACTACCCCGAAAATATCATGACAATCCGTGGACACAAAAATGCGCGGTAAAGTGTCCAATTATATTCTGTTTTGATTCGTATTTTTGTGAATTCGACAAATCTTAGCTGTTCGTAAGACACTTACGGCGCTCCAGTACTGTACGTACCAATGTGGAGACAGTAAAGAAAAGAATCCTTAGGGAAAATGCCCTTGTACGCATACTACGGTAGCACCCGAAAATTTGCGATTTGCAATGTCTAAAAAAGCGTTTTTATCGATCGCGGACCGTCATAAAACTTATGATGTTCTTCGTTTCATTTTTAGTATTTTGTATTGCCCCTTTTTAATTTAGAAAATTTGGGTTGCCACCTACCAGAAAAAAATGTATTCTAGTTGTTCGAACTCGCGAGAAACATCACTTACCTATCTATCGACGCGTGTGCCAACTCTTGTTTTCGTCGGAAATCCGTTGTGAAATCCAATTGTTTGATTAGGCGATGTACAAGTGACCTGTCGCGTCACCTGTTAACAAATTTTCGAATGGTAAATTGCTATTCTAATAGTTGAATATTCGAATATATGCCCCAGCCCTACTCAGTAACCAGTAATTATTTACTCGATTAATGTTATGTGAATAAATTTGCTTTTAGGATTTATGTAAATTCTGACGTAAATCGTAACTTGGCTGATAGTTAGGTTTCGCAAAAAACGTTTGCGGCCCGCAGTGAATTTCTGACTTGTTGCGGACTCATTTGAGACCGCGGACTCGGGTTGGGGAACACTGGTCTATCAGAACCAACCGATGAGGTTTCATGACCCCATTTTAGAAAATAAAATTGTTCACACAGCCAAAAAGTGTCATATTTGAAACCATGACTTTTTTAATCATGTTATCTTAGTGTTGGAATGTTTTCGGTAAAAATCGCTAAGATTAATTTCCAAAATACTTTACAGTCAAATTTGTTTTATATTAGATTTGATTTAGACTAAATCACTTGATATGATGGAACCAAAACTCATCTAGCTTCTTTATCTCTTAATGGTGAAATTCTTCAAACTGCTCTCTAATTGTCTAATCTTCAATTGACCTTTTTTACTAATTTATTAGTCTATGCTCTGCGATTTACTTAAATAGCTCACAGCTCAGAAAGTGACAGCTCTGTAAATCGCGTTGTTCGCTTTGCACAAGCTAGCTGTTAAGGCATTGTAACTTCATAGGCATAGATAATAAATTGGACCCAGTTACAGACTTTTTACCGCAAAATTGCTCGTACGAACAGGCTTAAACTAAATTAAAAACTCGTTTCGCGGGTCGCACACTGTTCAAAATTGGCACTTCACCGCGGGCCGGACAATTTTTTTTGTGGGCCATACTTGGCCCGCGGTCCGCATGTTGCACACCCCTGATTTACAGTATTCGAAGCATTCAAATTGCAATGTCCACAATACAAATGAGATTTGTTAATAAATTATGTCAATTATCTTCAAAAAACATTTTGAAACCTCTCTAAATACAAAAGTTTATTATTTAGATTGACGAGGTTGTTCTTGCGGGAGGCTCAACACGAATTCCGAAAATTCGAAAAATGTTGGAACAGTATTTTGACCACACGGAGCTTAAAAGAACTATCAATCCTGACGAAGCAGTTGCTTACGGTGCAGCCGCATATGCGTTTGCACTTGGTTCTGACGAGGATCCTGCTGTAAGTTAGACTTTTCGGTAACTTTGTACTACTGAACCAAACTTTCTAGCATATCCGTTTATATAGCAACCACGACGTTCAGTAAATAACTTTTATTTGGAAACACACACAATTTACGCTTTGTATGTTACTGCTGATTTAATGTCGCGCGCGTATAAAGTTGTAACGGCACATACAAACATGACGCTAAACCATGAATCAGAGTATTTTTGACAAAAAACTATAAATATGACTATAGCCTATATAGCAGGCCTGCACAACTCAAATTACCACGAGGGCCGCAAGCATAAATCCGAAGGCCCGGCGAGCCGCAAACTTTGCCACATACATATTTCACAAGATGAACCACAAATCAAAATAATATTGTGAAACAGTTGAATTTAATGAAACATTTTCATTACTGGGGAGCTTAAAAATATGGAAAATCTTATTTTCTTGAGTAAAAACAAGGTAGCGTATTTTTGCATATGAAATGGCAAATATGTATTTAGTGGTTCATCTACCTTGAAAACCCACCCTTCATTTTCCAATATTTCTTATTTATTAGAATTAGGTATTGCGTGTTGCAGTAAAAAACTGACTGCAGGAAAATATTTTACTCAGGTTCAGTTTTGTAAAAACGTCCCAAATATATGTATGACAATTTATTTAGTCATATCTACCATTATTGGATATTTCTGTCTGTTAAATTAGATTTTTCAACAAAATCTGCTCCAATTTATTTGAAATTTCACAGTAAATAGCAAAATCTTTTGTGCGAGAATTCCTGCACCATTCATAAATGAAGGAAATGTTTTTTAGGTTCTAAATTTGAATCGAAAAATAAACTTCATTTTTATAAACTGCTAGTAAAAAATAATGTAAAATAATAAATTATTAATAGGTTGCTAATATGCACTAATGGGTGTGAGATTGTATACCGATATTGTTTTAAGCGTGATTCAGTCTGAATACTGAGATATCTAAATGAGGGTTTCCCAAACTGGGGGGCGAGGGGTCGAGCGACGAATTTTAGTGGTCGCGAAGGGCACACCAATTTCATACAAAGTTTGATATTTATTGATACTAGTGCAAAACCTGAATCTCACGATTTCGAATATGATCCGAGTAGCGGCGCGCTTGCATAACAATGCCGGCTTTGATTGTTAGACCCGAGAAGTGGCGTGTTTCCAAATCACCTGCGGGCCGCACAGAAGTATCTAGCGGGCCGCATGCGGCCCGCGGGCCGTATGTTGTGCAGGCCTGCTATATAGATTTATAGCCAAAGCAACATAAAACGGAGTCTATTTCGCTCAAGAGTGCACATAAGGAGTAACATTTAATCGCAGATTCAATAAAAAATAACAACTTGGCTTGATTATTCAAATAATCACGACAATAACCAAAAGTTTTGATACTATTGAGTTAAAAACAAAATATTGAATACTTTTTAACAAAAATATGCTATAGTTGTGGACGTCTACGAGTAACGATAATCGGTTACCACCGGTGGCGCAGCCAGGGAGGAGGACAAAATACATGCATAGGCGGCGAGATGTTAAAGACAAATAACGGAATGAATCCGCCAGCATTTTTTTTTTAATTTTCCATCAATTAATTTAAATTGCTGTCTTGTATAATGTGTTGATGTTACACAAGGTTGAAAACGCGATTTTTCCGGATTGTCATAATATATATGATACCTAATCTAAAGTATACCAAATCAAATGTAATAAAATAAATTTTACTCCCTGAGATTTCATAGCAGACTTGAGTACTTTTTAACGGGTATATCCTAAAAATAATCTCGAGTGGCAGCATTGTGATAAAGCGGAATTTGTGTTGCAAGTACAGATCAGATTTGTCGAATTCGGAAAATGGCAAAAATATGGATTAAAATAAGATATAATCGGGCAGTTACCTACATATTTTATGTCCACTGATTGCCGTATCTTAGAGTGTTGATGTTTTATTTTGTCGACGAAACCGCAGGTGAAATTGAAGACATTTAAATTAATAAAGCAAGACATTTTAAATACGCCCGTATCGGTCATGGATTGATTTATTTTGCCCGCCAGAAGAATTATAATCCGTTGAAAATGACTCTTCTCACCATTAGCGTAATCGCGGCCAATGTTTTAGAAGCCGTTCCGACTCGATGAATATATATTTTTTATTTACTAATATACTTTATATATTTCACAGTAGTGAATTATATTGTAAGGATCAGATTTTGAGAATTTTTTATCGGCGATAATAAATTTGCAAGTACGCAAAATACGTATAAGCAAATATATTAGGGCACTTTATTTCATATTATCATGTCCACAGATTGTCGTGGTATTCTTGAGTAGTATTTTTTTTTTATTTTGTCGACGCAACCGTGTGTTACGTTGAACTCAATTGAATTTAATAAACAAAGGTATTTTAGATCCGCGTACTTGTCATTGATTGAATATTTTACGCAACAGAATAGTCTTCATACGCTAAAACAATGATACTCACACAGTCCAAAAAATATTTTATTCATCTTAGCTGAAGGAATTCGCTCTTGAAGACGTTACTCCCCTTTCTATTGGTATCGAAAATCATGGGCTAACAATGGGTTTTGCTATTCCACGAAACACGAAGATTCCCACTAAGGTGTGGACAACACGGCATACATTGAAAAATAATCAAGAACGAGTTACGCTGAAGGTGCGTCTACCTAAAATATTACAAATGGTATATGGTGAACGTGAAATATACATTTTGAGGTTAATGAAATGTAATTAGTTATCAAGCTTTTACTTGAATAGAATATGAATTGCTTGTTACACATTTTGACGTCATGTAGTGTGGAACCAATGATGGAATTGGTGATTATGGAGCATTAGATTTGGTTTGCAGATGACGATGCCCTCAGGCAATCGGGTATATATACGTTTTTTTAGCTTTATATCAGGTTTTATGTATCGTTGAAGTCTTGCTGCGAATTTTCGTTTTCCGTTAGATTGTCTTCAACGGGATTCGAATTTACTTCAAGCCTGTTTATTAATAATTTTGCACGCGTCTGTCGCATGATCCTGTCCAACAGTAATGTTATAGCCTTGAAATACATTTCAGGCTAATTTGTGGGTTGGTTGGAGGAAGACGTTTCCTCTGTCGTCAGACGACGAATACTAACTGTAGCGCCTGCACCAATCCCTCAGTCTGACAGACACTTTAACGAGGCGAAGTCTTTATTGTCAAGATTCGATCCGAAAGGATAAAACAATCAGTTATATTGAGTAGCTTATATATACTAATTACCAATAGATGTAAATGTACAAATCAAGTATGAAACATAGATAAATTATATTGAAACCGGTTTGTCATTAAGAAATGGCTTGGGGCTATTTTAATCAATTATGTCCAGTAGCAAAACAAGTTGTGTCGTCTTAAAATTCTAAATTATATGGTTTTGCTCTAACTAATATTATTAATATGAAAAACAACAGTCAAACCAAAATACCAAGATTATTCCTATATTGTTATTTAAAATTGTTACAGATTTTTGAAGGGGAGCGCACTTTGACAAAAGATAATCATTTCCTTGGAGAATTTACTTTATCGGGGATACCTCCTGCACCGAGAAAAGAAGGAAAATTGAAAGTGCTTCTTGAAATTAACGCGTGTGGAATTCTCCATGTCTCTGCTTTTGAGGAAATCACTGGAAATTCAAATGAAATAACGATCGCTAGAGACAAAGGAGTGTTGAGTGAAAGCGAGATAAAACGAATGGTAATCTACTAAATTTCTTGAACGCTTACAGAATTGCCAAATATATAAACAAATGTGAGAAAATTGGCTCGCAAAATAATCGCGTATTAGTTACCGCAAATTTCCAAATAGGGGAAAACGGAACAAACAGCAATTATTTTTACATTTTACATGGACGATATCATTTTCAACAGTGTGATTGAAACATATATGCAAAAATATGTATTAAAATGTGTTTTGAAAATGTTCATTCAAAATTGCAGCCGGACTGAAATCGCACATTACAGAAATATACTGAAACATGAGTTTCACGTTAGCACATATAAGTGAATCTGAATCTCTTATCTCTCTATGAAGGTACAGGAAGCAGAAAAGTTTAGAAAAAGGGACCAGGAGCTAAAACAGCGATGCAAGGCAAGGAATGCGCTTGAAGATTACGCATACAGTGTGAAAGAAGAAGTGGATCAAAAAAATCTGACAGGACAGCAAAGAGAATCTATAATGAGCAAAGTGACTGAAATTCTTCAATGGTTGGATATAAACAAGGTAATTTTTTTGTGAATTGAGATCAAAAAATTCAAACGATTCTCAACTAAAAAGGTTGTTCAAAGAAGTTATAATACTAATTGTACGCAAACCGGATGGTTGTTGAACATTGTTCTCGTTGAAATTATTGGTGATTTTTCAACTCATTAAAGCTGAAAATTATATGCTCACTTAATATAAGGCGTTAAATACTCAAAACAGATTTTCATTTTTTTTCTGATCTACAAATTGAATTCTTGATGGCGACAAGTTCAAAAGTAATCTAAGTAATCATTTATTTCTATATTATAGTACAGTGGTTCTCAAGCGGTGGGGACCGTCTACAAGGGGGTGTAGACAATTTTTTGAGGGGGCGTGAAGCTAATTGGAAATATTTGTTAGGTGTAATCTTGCCCGCCTTATTTTGGATATTGACATTTCTTTATTTGAATTAAACACTTCAAATACTTTTGCCTTACTATATATTTGTAGCTTATTATTAGCTAGTTATTTTTGAGGTGGGGCGTGAGACTTGACAATTTCTAAAAAAGGGGGCGCGGCCCAAAAAGTTTAGGAACCGCTGATATAGTGTTATCCTTTCATTATTTTTTAGGTTTTATGAATACATGAAGCATAAAGCTCGTTAAGTCAATTAATATTCATTCGAGCACTTTCGAAATTACATGCCATTTTTTTTTAGACGGAACCTCCAGAAATGTCTGAATTAGAAGAAAAGAAAAGGGAACTGGAGGAGATTAGTCAATAAGTTGATGAATTACGGCAATCTTTATATTTCAAATTTCAGGATTAAAATATCTCCAAGCCTATAATTTTTTTTTAATATTTTACAAGCTGAAGATCTGTTGATTAACTCAGTTTCATGATCGCAATTGCGCCAGCAATTTGATTTTAAGTTTAATGACTTTGGCCGGGTTGAGCTAACAAACGTTGTACAGCAGCTCTATTGTTTGCTTGTTTTGTTACCGAACTTCAAGTAGAGTAGCTGTAGTGTGCTTCTTATCATTATATAAAAGTTAGCGTAGATTTGCAAATAAACTATTTTTTAATTCATAGTTTTTCATACTGAGTTTTTAGTCTCCGGCCCAGTAACCACTGGCCCACCCAGAAAAGTAATTGGCCAGTTGTTTTATTCGCGTGAAAATAAAATAATACGTTGGATGCAACATATTGCAATACTTTATGAAACTTCCCAGAAAAAATGTATTTATTTAAAGATAGACGGATAAAATGTATTTATGTAGACATAACTGAGGTGAGCTCCACGAATCCGAAATTGTTTGATACCAAGCCGGTAAGCGCCCAGGATCTCCGCTGATAGTTGAGGCCCGGACTCAGGCGCCCAGTACCATCCATAGGAAAGTGCATTTCTAAAACGGCAGCGTTTTAAGTGAGCGGGTCACCGAAAATGCCAGTTCATTTTGAGCACTGCGCGTTTCGTGAACATTCACGGTATACTGAAGCTAATAATTGAAATAATGTTCACTAAAATCCCTAGGCCTAAGGCTTCCCCAATTTATGGAGTATCGAGATGATGGAGGGTTGGTTCGAAAGAATAGTTTATTCGGCAGGGGGTATCGTGCTCGGATTTTTGATTTTCGACTTGTTTTACGATAAATTGATAAATGATCCACTGTGGTGACAATAAATTCCACACAATAGCACCTACGAAATTGACCTGCATTTTATGCCAGACTCTATTGTTCTCATTTCTTTTGTCGCATACAATTTATAATTAACAACTCGAGTGTAAACAAAGAATTTCTACATACCGGTATGTCGTTTACCTTATTAGAACCTAATCCTTTTGTGTCGTGGTCCCACCCAACGTTGGTTTTTGGCAAGTTCATGTCTCGAACAAATTTTTACTTGTTTCGTACAATCTATTGTAAAACAGACAAAAATGCGATTCATACCCTATTCCCATCCTTTCACATCAGAACCTGGGACATGAACGTGCCATAACCTGCCTATTGTACATATCATCGAGGTGCCGTACCTCTTTGTCCTGTGTATTGTACAAGAGTTCTATTTGTATATTTCGTGTCTGTTGTCCTACTATAACGCAGCAGTCCTAAACTGCAGTTATACTTGTTGGGGTGCATGTCGCACATCTGTGTCTTAGGCCAGCAAGGTCTTGAACATGTATCCCGTCTCTTTCATACCGTGAACTATTATGCAGATACTGTTACATTTTTGAGGCAAATAAACATACATACAAATTGTCGAACAGTAAGAGTAATTTCGAGGTTTTTCAACAATCGCGTATTTTTGCTGCTGCCATGGAAACGAAACACTAATCCGGATTGTCACTGATACGCACAATACCAGGGTGATAGGATTACCCACTTGAGAAATTTCGTTCAGAACTGTCCAGTCGTTTAGACCAGGGTCGTTCAACCCAAGGCCCGCGGGCCACATGTGGCCCGCCGAAGGTTTCCGAGTGGCCCGCGCAGTATTATTCGAAGCCCGATGTCTTTCACAAATCTGAGCCACTCTTGAAACTATTCTAATAAAAAAAATTATTCCTCATCGTTCAAACGCGCGAGAAGCACCACACAGCTACCGAAAGCTTTGCGGGCGTTATTGCTGGAGAGATATTTGAATTTATTAACCTGTAGTCGGTGTAGTGAAAACTAAAACATAACTACCTATCAAGTGGCCCGCGCAATCATTCGTAAACATGTGGCCCTTAGACGCTACAGCAAGACATACATACAGATAGACTTTAAGGCTTACTAAGAATAAGAGTCTCTCAGAGCAGAGATCCATAATAATCGAAAACAGAAAAAACTGCTTTTCTAACAAAAATCTAACATCTTCAATATATTTGCGTTAGGTAAGGCAATTTAAGGCTAGCTCTGTATCGGATGTAAATGTTTCTCTGTGTGATTACGCAGCGTCTCAGGTTTATTAAATTATTATTCTAATTGTTAGTATAAAAAACTTACTACATCTAATGACATGTTTTACCTATGTCGCCATTATTATACATCACGATAATGTAATATAAACACGGTAGTTACTGTCGATTTTTTTTTCTTTTTCATATGACGCCTATTTGCTACGACGCCCTTTGCTACGAACAACGCCCTGTGTAAGAAGCCGCTGGTATACAACGATACTTGAGGAGCTACTATTATTTGGATGGGCCGGAATCCTTCTGGATGGGAAGTGCCTACCTAATTTATTACACACTGGGTGAGGTGGTCCATATAGGATTTGTAGGTGGTCCATATAGGAACACAGTAAGGTATAACGCTATGTTAACTCAATGTTGGGCGAGGTCCAGCCATATAGCGCCATAATCGTTATTTTACGCACGTTACATACAAAATACCGATACTAATCAAACAACGTTCATTGAAATATTTAAAACCTGTAACCTCCAACGATACGCGGCGATAATTGTCCACGACAGGTCTCGCTAGGAATATCTACAGTTCACTAGATAAGATACTTAAATTCAATTCAATATTCACGCACCCAAAAAATAATAATTAAAAGCGTCGAATACCTTGCAAGTGGTAATCATATACAAGTTATAGAAAGTTTGACTATTGACGAGTTGCGCGACTTTCGAGATGGCAGACTGCTGGCGCCGTTTCTTCTTCTGAACTTGGATAAATGATACGTGAATGCCGGCAAGTCTAATCCCAAAAATTGATACTGGTACAAAACTACTTGCAGGGTAGCCTAGCATACAAACTATCATTAAAATGTCAAGGTTGGGGTTACCATATTTTTGTGACATCGAAGTAGGACGCCTCTAAAGACAACGAACCCTTAGCTGTGATTTTGTAACTTCACATTTTCCGATTTTACCACTTAGGCCTATATTTAAAGCTATCCCGACTGTCTTCATCGACCATATTGTCATCGAGAATTCATGCGCATATTCTCTGTCCAAATATCGGGTCCAGTTCGAGAAATAGAAAGGAATTGACATTAACGATACCGGTACAAATAACTCGAATTTAGACTAATTAGTATTGATTTTACATGCGATACGTTTTCTAACAATGTTAGCGGAAAAAGGGAAACAAACGCATTCACCTTCAGTAAGTAGGCTAGCTCTGCGCCACACAGTAACGAGAACATGTTCGTGTATTATGACTTTTGGCTGACTTGTCGGGACGGCGGGACAAGACGCTAATACGCGGGACTGTCCCGCTTAAAGCGGAACGAATGGTAAGCCTAGTCAAGGTACATGAAATGATAGACATGGTGGTAGATGTGATGCCAACACAGTAGACTAGAGTGTAACGCTATGTTAACTTATGTTGGCAAGTCTAATCCCTAAAAATGATACCGGTACTGGTACAAAACTACTTATAAGGTAGCGTATCATACAAATATTTTTAGAATTCCAAGGTAGATGACATGTTGATAATGCAGTAAGAAAGCAACGACTAACGCCCACACACACTTGCCGTACTTCACTAACCTCAGCGTTTGGCTAAGCGTTCGGAATGCGCTTGCCATAGCAGCTTGCTGGATTGCCCTGCACGATTTGCAGCCCGTGGTCGCTGATCATGTGCAAGAAGATTGTTGAACTCCGGGCCAGTGGGTTGGGTGGTTCATCTAACCACCGAATGTTAACAAATAACTGACTGAATAACCTTGACTTGTAACACGGCGAAAGGTCATGGTTCGCCTCCTGCCCCGAGATAAATAGTTTATGAAAATCCTATCGTGATGGCAGACTAGTAGGCTACGGCCTGCTATCCCTATTTACCCGGCGCAAAAATCGGGTCTCATGTACTTTCTTACCTGAATAACTTCTAGTGGGCGTGGCGTAACAATTTTTTGGATATATGATTCCTGACCCCTACCTGATGACGTCATCCAAAAATTACGTCACTGCGACGTCACAATAACGAAATACAGCTTGCCAAAGTATAGCGACGGTCACCCGTAATGGCGCCTACGAGTATGTCAACAAACTCAATACGTCAGCGACCTCTCTCTTATCGGGGGTCGTTGTACAGAGCTCAAAAATAAACAAGAGAGCTATGCTCAAATATATGGACACGTAGCGCCACCCAATGGCAATAATTTTGATGACGTCATAGCGAAAAAAAAAGTAATAGCCTTCTGGAGAAAAATTTTATCTTCAACCACTGAAAATTTCAAAGCAATTGGTCCAGTATTCGAAGAGAAAAGCGACTTTTTAAAAACGTGTCAAAGAACAAGAACAACAACAAGGACAACAAGAACAAGAACAAGAACAACAACAACATAATATTGAAACGATCGTTATGTCCACTACGTGTCCAACAAGAATCACAAGCGACTAAATTGTCGCCAAGGAACGTTCACGATATCCCATTCTGACCAATTTCTGTCCAGCAATAGCCATGTATCGTGCTACAATCTAAAATAGAGCGTTATACGATACAACTCTAACCAAGGCTTTAGACAAGCAGAAAATACATGTTATTTTACGCAATGGTTGAAGTTGGGTGCCACAAACAGAAAGAACATTTAATTCACGCAATGATTGAGGTTAGGTGCCGCAGACATAAAGACTTGTTATTTAATATCCAGAGACTGATCATGTATTGGGCCACATTTTATATATAGGACGTGGAACGCTTTCACTCTATGCAAGGCTTTAGACAAGCAGAAACCGACATATTAATTTGCCTTGGCGCAATGGATGTAGTTTCTTACCTCGATAACTTATACTTATCTTAGCGTAACAATTTTTGCATATATCATTCCTGACCCTCACCTGACTTCGTCATCCAAAAATTACGTCAATGCGATGTCACAATAACGAAATCGAGCTTGCCCAATAATAGCGACCATAATGCAATCGTGATAAATACGCCTGTGTGTCCGGTATGGGTGTAGTTTCGTACCTCAATAACTTCTAGTTAACTTAGCGTAACAATTTTTGCACGTATTATTCCTGACCCTCACCTGATTTAATCATCAAAAAATTACGTCAATACGACGTCACAATAACGAAATAGAGCTTGCGTAATAATAGCGACGATTACTGGTAATGCCACCTATGGATGTAGTTTCTTACCTCAATAACTTTT